GGGAGTGTGGAGGGACAGGAAGCTGAACATGAGCCAGAGTGTGCCCAGAGGGCCAAGAGGGCCAAGGGATCGTGGCCTGGCTCAGGCAGAGTGTGGCAGCAGGAGCAGGGAAGGGATTCTTGGCCTGCACTCAGCGCTGGGGAGGCCACCCTGGAGTGCTGTGTCCAGCTCTGGCCCCTCAGGTCAGGAGGACATGGAGGGGCTGGGGCAGGTGCAGAGAAGATCAAGGAGGCTGGGGAAGGGACTGGAGCACAAGTGCTGTGAGGAGAGGCTGAGGGAGCTGGGATTGTTGAGCCTGGAGAGAGGAGGCACAGGGGAGACCTCAGCACTGTCCCCTCCCTACAGGACACTCCCCTAGAAATCCTCGGGGGGGCCTTTTGTGTCTATTGCTGGTTGCTGCTTCTTCCTGGGGACCTGAGAGCCCCTCTGCAATCCCATCCCTGGGGCACAATCTGCTCTCCAGAGCTCGACTGACTCCCTGCAGACTTTGCTGGGCAATCTGTGCTCGCAGCTGCATCCTGAGCCCGAGGTCAGTTTGTATCCCTGAGTGCTGATCCAGCCTGGGGACCCAGGGGATCCTGTGCCATTCCATCCGTGCAGCAGGAGTCACCCTGCTGCCCTGGAGTCCCTGCAGAGGAACAAGTGCCATCTCTGTGTTTGGGAGCTGCCGAGGGTGGAGGGCGAGGTGGGCGATGGCGGAGCTGGGGGACCCCCGGCAGGCTGGAGGGGGGAGCACGGAGAGGGAGGAGCCCCGGGACCCCCAGGAGCCTGAAACGGGGGGAGTGGAGAAGGGGAAGCCTGGAGAGTGGTAACCCCTGGGATCCCCAGGACAACAAGGAGGAGAACCTGGAGAGGGGGAATGTGTGGGAAGGCGGCACCCCAAAGGTGAGAGTCAGAGGAGAAGGGACCCTTGGGACCCCCAACACTCCCAGCATCCCTAAGTGGGACCCCCAGCATCCCAGACAGGGGAGACCCTCCAAACCCCAGAGGGGAGAGACCAGAGAGGGGGGACACCTGGGAGAGTTTTTTTGGTGCTAATCTTGATATTTTGGACCATTTTTAGCTGAATCTCAACTTTTTGCACTTTGAGGTTTTCTTGCTTTTTCTAAAGGGGTTTTTTGCCTGAATGTTGGTGGTTTGGGTTTTTCTGGGCTGAATCTTGGTGTTTTGGAGGTTTTTATAGTCACAGGATGCCCGGTGAGCTCTAGAGATGGACTTGGGCAGGAGGAACCCCCAAGCCAATGTGCTCAGCCCTTTTTTCCCCCCAGCAGGATTTGTCCTTCCCAAAGCTTGGGCGGATGGAGGAGGAGGCTGTGAGGAAGATGCCACGGGCCCCCCAGGCAGGTGAGGGGGCAGTCAGTGCCCCTTTGGCCCTGTCCTGTGGTGTATCTGTTGAGCAACCTCCCAGTGGGGAGAAGCCCTTCAGGTGCTTGGAATGTAGGAAGAGCTTCAGCTGCAGCTCCAGCGTGATCCGACACCAACAGATCCACACTGGGGCACGACCCTACATGTGTAGGGAATGTGAGAAGAGGTTTCAGACCAGCACACATCTCCTCCTGCATAAGCAGACACACACAGGGGAGAGGCCCTTCCACTGCACTGAGTGTGGGAAGGGCTTCACCCAGAACTCCACCCTCATCACCCACCGGCGCATCCACACCGGGGAGAAGCCCTGCAAGTGTGGGGAGTGTGGGAAGAGGTTCAGGGAAAGCTCGACCCTGATCCAACACCAGCGCATCCACACTGGGGAACGGCCATACAAGTGCTTGGAATGTGGGAAGAGGTTTCAGACCAGCCCCAATCTCCTCAAGCATCAGCGGACACACACGGGGGAGAGGTGCTTCTGCTGCACCAACTGCGGGAAGGGCTTCAGTCAGAACTTCAACCTCGTCAGGCACCAGTACATCCACACCGGGGAGAGGCCCTACAAGTGTGGGGAGTGTGGGAAGAGCTTCACCCAGAGCTCTGACTTGACCAGACACCAACAGACCCACCAGTGAGGGAAGTCCTACAAGTGCCCCGACTGCAGGAAGAGCTTCGGCCGCTGCTCCCACCCCGAATGACCCCCCTGATGGTGAGGCAACCCCTGGAGTCCAGTGACTGTCAGTCCATCCCTTTCTACCAGAAAGAGCCCATCCCCTTTGCCAGGGGCAGGTTGTGCCAACAGAACCCTTCTTGGGGGGTGTGTGGAGATTCCTGCCTTGGCTGGGACCCCCCAAGGTCACTGCTGGAGGTTGAGAGCAGAGATCTCCCCATGAGCATTGGTCTGGGGGAGTTCCATCCCTCTCTAATTCATAATTCTTGCTTTGGTGCCAACTTGAGTAGAATTGCTCCAACAATTGCTTTAGTGTAGAGCACTGTCCTATCTTATCCTGTACTACTGGTAGTTTTAGTGTTTCTATTGTGCAGTAAGTAGTTCTGATGAAGATATTTTGTCTGATCATTTGTAACCCTAAATAATTCATTTCTATCAGTAGATCTGATTTGCCATCATTAAAACCTGGGGGACAAAAGTGGTTCAGTCCCACCTCTGTAATTCCTCTAAACTGAAAGTGTTGGCATAACCCAAGGCAGAGATTGGATCCAGAAGCCCCGAGCACCCAGTTGGGAGCTCAGGGGGGCCACCCCCATTCCCAACCCCCCTTTACCCAAAGACCGCCATGGGACCCTCGTACCCTCCAGACCATCCCCCCCTTTCCACTCTTTTCCCTGTTTCTCCCACTTTTCCATGGGCCCCTCAATCCCCAATTTCCACCCTCAAACAG